TCAAATCATGGCTGGGCATGTGGATATCCAGAGCCTTTAACAAGCATGCCACCTGCCAGCCCGTTTTCTTTTTTTTTTTTGTGACTATTACTCCTATTACCATATAAACCCAAAGCCTTGTTTACCTAATTTTAAAAATGTATTATTTTTGTTAGTTTATTTATTTCCTAGTCTTGATTTAAAAGACACGAAGTGGGATGTGTGTCCATGCCTATGGAGAACCCCCTGAGACAGGCAGGCAAAGTGGGGGAAGGCCTCAGACCACAGAAGTCTTTTTCAAGCAAGTCTGGTTCCTCCCTCAGGACCAGCCTGTTAAAATGGTGAGGAGAGTTCAGACTGTTGTTCAACATCATACTTTTCCTAAAGGAACCTGGGGAGGGGACCAGGTGTGTCTTCCCTTAAGACACTTGACACAACGGGGCTGGCAGGTGGCGTGGTGGTTAAGGGCGCTGGATTCCCACATGGCTGACATGGTTTGAATTCCCGAACCTGGCGGCTTGCTTTCTCACTTTCTTTCTCTCTCTCTCATCAAATAAATAAAGTTTAAAAAAAATTCTTAAAAAAAAAGAGATGCTTTAAATGAGAGCATAGAAACTGATTGTGAAATTGGATGAGAGCCGCAGGATGGATCTGAGATATCCAAGTTCAGAACACAAATGACCTGCCGAGCAGCTGTTTGACCCTAGAGCCTCAGTGAATGGGACTATTAAAAAAAAAAAAAAAAAAAAGGGTATGAGAGAGAAGGGAATAGTGGAGAAACTCCAGAAAGAAAAGTAGCTAATATAGAGGCAACTAATTTTCCCAAAGGCATTTCATTAAAAAAAAAAAAAAAGGAAATAAAGGACAGCCAAGACTGCCTTTTTGTTTGTCTGCTATATAGGGTGCATGCACTTGCCAGAGAGGGAGAAAGAGAAAGCATCCCTCTGGGGGAATGGCCACTCTAATCCCTTCTCCACTCTTCTGGGATCTTGGGAAAACACATGCACCTGGTGTGTTTTTCAAGCTGCCAGGTCCAGGATTCAAACAGTACAGCCAGTCATGTGGGACCAGCCACTTTAACCTCCATGCCACCCGCAGGCCCAAGACTGTCTCTTTCTTATTTACTTATTTTTAGAGAGATTTTTGCTATAGGGTATATGCACTTGCCAGAGACACAGGGAGAGACAGAGAGAAACAGGAAGCAAGATATCACCCCCCCCCAGGGGGATGGCCATGCCGTAATTCCTTCTCCTCCAGTGTCCTCTCAGGACCTTGGGCACACATGCACAAGCACTGCACCCAGTGTTGTTTAAGCCGCTGGGGCTGGGAGGCCAGCGGCATAACTATTACGCCATCTGCTGGTCCCAAGACGGCCTCTTTCTAATCCTGCCACAGCTCCAGTCTCAGTGCTCCTGGACCATGTATTCTAACGGCAGTGGGCAGGGCTCATCAGGGCCCAGCGAGAAGCTGAGTCCTACCCTTGCTCAGGTGGCGTTCTCTGTGTGATGTGGTAGTTCCCGTCTAGTGCTGACAACCAGTGGCATTATGCACAAGTGAGACACACCAAGGAGAGCACGGTAACAAGTGGGCATGGGTTTTTATTCTCAGTGCATGGCAGTATTGGCTTCTGCTCATCAGCAAAAAGCTTTATTGGTTCCAAAAATTCATCCCGTTTAAAACTCCTCTTCTATTCTTCCCGTGTCAGTGGAACAACATATTTAAATTTCTGATTTGCCAGTTTATAGCATTTTTTTTCCCCGAAGAACCATATAAATACATGCAAAACATTGTACATACAGCTTAAATAATATCAAAATGCAAATACAGATTGGGTGCACTGTTAGGCTGAATTGCAAATTATGGCAACACACGCTGGGGTTCACGTTGCTTAGATATCACCATTTGTTTGTTTATGTCATGCAGACCACCATAGTCAACCTTTTGTTTTGTTTGTTTTTCTTTTTTTGTACAAAAATACCAGTGCTTATTATACTAGTTACGGAAAAGAAGAGGAAACTCAAAGTTCCTATCTGCGTGCTGATTTGAAAAGAACGACATAGATAGGTTTGTTGGCACATATATATGGCATATTCACATATGGCATATATACATCTGGGGAGAAAATACGAACCAAAAGCCATTCAGTCATGGGAGCCCATCTCCCTCCGTCTCTCCTAACCAAGAGGAAAGGGGACAGCAGGCCTGACAGCAGGGTTGGGGAGGCAGAAGGGTGGACCCAGGGCTGAATGCAAGAGCATCTGGTCTATTCTGAGGCAGAGGCTGGAATGGCTTAAGAACAGCAGGCAGTTAGTTCTAAGTGCCTACTCCCACCAGTGCAGCGGGGTGGTCCCTAGACAGTAAGGGTGAGGAGGTGTGCCTGGTGTGATGGTACCAGGGCCTGCTTCAACTGTAAGGCAAGGGAAGCAGGAAAGGAAGGCAGGATGCTATCAGAGGTGTTTCCAGCACACGCGCGGATGCCATGCCCCTCCGGGTTTTTGGCAGTGTAGTGATCGCTCAGACAGAACTGTGTACACACACCCCTCTGAATCTCGAGGGGAAGCAGAAACCCAACTCCTAAAGAATTCACATGCACCCACAAGGATGTGTAGGTGATCCCTCTCTTAAAACCTTTAGGATGGGAGTGTCGTTTCAGAAGACAGAGATTCCTATGGGAAGGATCCAGCCCCAAGACTGTCACCCAGGGCCTGAACCAGCCGTTGCTTTTTTCATGTACAGTTCTGTCCCTCATCTAACATATTGCACAAGACCATTCTAGGGAGGGGAAGGAGTCACAGATCAGATCCTAGCACGAAACCTCACTAATGGAAAACTCCAGAGGGGACAGGAAATGAAAGAACCAGAACAAATGCAAACCCCAAATCAGAGTGTCCTTACAAACCAGGAGCTGTTGCTGTCTGTGGTCGCACTCGGCCAGCTATTCAAGAGACACGAGCCAGGGGAAGGCCTCTGATCCTTCCCAACTGCTAGTTACAAAAGAGCCTGGCAATCCATCTCCATGGGCTGGGGCGCTGTTCACTTCCTAGCAGCTGTGTCCCTCCTTGCCCAACGTTTCCCTAACAATCTGCAGTTTCCTACCCGTTTTTTTTAGGTTTATCAAGAGAAGAATCTTAGGATGATATTTCCTCCTTCTCCTCATCAGACCCTTTGCAAATCCAAAGCACCATTTTGGAGAAAAGCATTATTAACTTTTGCCATATTTCCTCACTGCCAGTTGGATCACTGAAACTGAATAGAAAACAACTTATATATAAAAAAACGTATGCACACAAACACTAAAACTTACTCAATTCCATATCAACAAAGTTTATATTAAAAAAGTCTAGAACCCAACAAAATGTTATTTCCCCCTAGGTATAAAGATGGCTGTTTGGAGAAAGGAAGCAGGGTGTATCGGTTTACAACCAATGACAAATAGACTCAGTGACCTGTCATGTCAAGAGGTTGGTTATGCACAGGGTCACACGACAGCACTTTTATTTGAAATCCTTTAAACAAAATACATATGACTGACTCAAAAATATCAGTTTCTGATCTAAAGAAAACTATATATATATATATTTTTTTGCATAATATTTCTATTTTCTCTCCTACTGTGGAAACTAGAACACAAAATAAACCGTTGACTTTAAAGTAGACATAAGCCCTCGAGAGTAATCTGTCAGGCACCATGAGAGTCTTCTGGGAG